CCACTTGCCCCTACCCTGGGGGAGGCGGGGCCTCTCTCGGATAAGTCACATTTTAATTAACTTCCCCGTAGTCACTGGAGAGGTTGGATAATTTGCATAAACAAATGAGAGGCCAGCGCTTTGTCTGCAGCTTGGAGTGAGTGGTGCAGAAGGAATTCAAAACAAACCGCCCAGCAGAGGCCCCATAGGCCTGCCTAGAACTCAGAATTCCATCATTTTGTGGGGCAGTTGGGGTGTGGGATTTCAGATGGGAAAGAAGAGGGAGAAAAATGATCAGATGTGTAGAAAAGAACCAATAGTCTCAAAGTAGGCTGTATGGCTGTGTGTCTGTGACACCCAAAATTCATACTTTAAAACCCTACCCTCCGATGAGATAGTATTAGGAGGTAGGCATTTTGGAAGGTTATTAGGTCATGAAGGTGGAGCCCTCATAATGGAAGTTGTAGTACCCTCATGAAAAGAAGAGCCGGGCTTGGTGGCTCAGCCTGTAATCCCACGCCTTTCTGAGGTAAGTGGATTGCCTGAGCACGTGGGTTCAAGACCCACCTGGGCAGCGAGACCTCATCTCTACAATAAATCAAAAAATGAGCCGGGTGTGGTAGCGCGCGCCTGTAGTTCCAGCTACTTGGAAGGCTGAGACGAAAGGATCACCGGAGCCCGGCAGGTCAAGGCTGCGGTGGCCGGTAGCAGCCACTTGCACTCCAGTCTGGGTGACTGAGTGAGACTCCAACTCAAAAAAAAAAAAGAAAAGAAGAAAAAGGCCAGATGCAGTGGCTCATGCCTGTAATCCCAGCACCTTGGGAGGCTAAGGCATAAGGATCACTTGAGCCCAGGAGTTTGAGACCAGCCTAGGAAACATAGTAAGACGCTGACTCTACAAAAAAATTTTTTAAATTGGCAGGGTGTAGTGGTGCACACGGGTAGTCCCAGCTACTCAGGACTGAAGGATCGTCTGAACCCAGGAAGTCGAGGCTGTGGTGAGCCATGGTTGTACCACTGCACTCCTGTACTCCAGCCTGGGTAGCAGAGTGAGATCTTGACTAAAAAAAAAGAAGAAACAGAAGAAAAGAGCTAGCTTTCTGTCTGTTCTCACCATATGAAGACACAAGAAGGCAGCCGTCTGCAAACCAGAAAGAGAGCCCTCACCAGACAAGATATCTTAATACCTAGATCTTGGAATTCCCAGCCTCCAGTACTGCGATAAATAAATGTTTATTGTTTAAACCATTCAGTCCATGGTAATTTGTCCCAGCAGTCATAGCTGCCTAAGACATAACTATTTCATTCATTCATTCAATCCCTATTTACTGGCAATTATTCTACGCTGGATCCTGGGAAGACAGGAGTGAAAATAAAGACTGACAAAGTATGTGGGAAATCTCCATTCCTTCTACTCACTTTTGGTGTCAACTTAAAACTACTCTAAAATATGAAGTCTACTTTTTTAAAAAATGAACCTTAAAAAATAAAGATTAAATCCCTGCCCCCATGGAACATACATTTTCCTGGGAGGAGACAGACATTAAACTGATTGCCATGCAACACATGACTTCATTATATTACTGTGTAATTTTGTGATGGCTTTGAGATGTAATTCACACTCCATAGAATCTGCCCATTTAAAGTTCAAACCAGTGCGTTGGCTCACACCTGAGCACTTTGGGAGGCCGAGGCAGGAGGATTACTTGAGCCAAGGAGTTTGAGACCAGCCTGGCAACATGGTGAGACCTCATCTCTACAAAAGTAAAAAAATCCAAAAATTATCTGGGTGTGGTGGCACGTGCCTTTAGTCCCAGTTACTCAGGAGGCTGAGGCAGAAGGACCACCTGAGCCCAGGAGGACGAGGTTTTGGTGAGCTGTGATTGTGCCACTATACTCTAGCATGGGCGACAGAGGGAGATTTTGACTCAAATTTTAAAATAAATAAATAATGACTGGGCATGGTGGCCTATAATCTCAGCACTTCGGGAGGCTGAGGCGAGAGGATCGTCTGAGCCCACAGGTTCAAGGCCAGCCTGGGCAACTTGGCAAGACCTCATCTCTACACTAAATCAAAAAATTAACCGGGCATGGTGGCATGTGCCTGTAATTCCAGCTACTTGGAAGGCTGAGGTGGAAGGATCACCTGAGCCCAGCAGGTCAAGGTTG